GAAACATGTTTTTAATGCAACAATGCAGTCTGCAACAAAGCTCACCACCGTTTTGAATCAGAGGAAATGGTTTTTACAGGGTCTCAGGCCTCAGGAAAGAAGTCTGGATAATCCAAAAAGTTTTCCACTACCCACTACCCACTGCCCTGCTGCCCTTGTCAGCAGACCTTATCATTCCTTTAGAGGAGACAAGGTGTATTTGCCACAAACCCTGGTCCTCCTGATATTTCACAGCTAGTGGAAGCATGAAAACAGTGGCTCATCTGCACAAGAAGAGACAAAAGCTTTCTGTTCTGGTAGGGAGCCCCAGCAGCACTAATGGCATGCTGAGTACCAGCACTTGGGCTAACACAGCTTTCTGCAGGGCTGCCACAGACAGTGCTGAGCCTGCATGGATTTCCTTCATCTTTCTTTTTGTGGCAGTGTGTAAGTAAAATGTTTGCACTGTTAGGAAATAAAGGATTTACAAGCTGCATTCTTGTCTTGATCCATCAGCGTGTGGTGCTAACACTCCTGTTTTCTCACATTCCTCACCAACAGGGTACATTACTCACCATTTTTCAGGGTAAATGTTGAGATATTTGATTTTTTCATCAGCCAAAACTTCCACTGAAGGGAAAGTCGCCATGTTCGAAATTACAACCCTTTGGCTGTACTTAAATTCCCATAAATCTCCTTTTTGGAGAATGGGCATCCAGAAAATAGTAATTATGCCAGGATTAAGGTCAAGACGTAGGAGTTATACCTACCTGCCCAGGGCAAAGGACACCATAGACCAGCCGGTCTGCCCCTAAGTGCAGCAGGAACAGGTTCAAACCAAGCTTCTGTCCAGCAGTGTGTCCATAAAGCAGAGCATGATGTGCTTAACCTAGTCCCCTGCCACGTCGTCACCTTGCAGTGCTTATGTAAAAATCTGCAGACTTTGGAGTCAGAGGGATTTCCTGGCTGTCTGGGAGAGCTCATGCCAACACTGAAGAGCTCAGTGCCAGCTATACAACATGTCATTTATGTTGCAGGGACTAAAGGAAGAAGCAGGATGTGGGTGATGGAGGGAGTCCTGTGTTTAAGCTGTGGCACCATGACCATGTTGCAGCACAGCCTGGGGTAAGTCCTCAAGGTGGCTCAGGCAGGCACACAGTGGGGCAATGGCTACAGGGGCAGGGAATGCCACTGCTAAAGGGGAACAGGCCAAAACATGCAGCTGCCTGGCAGCATTGCCATATCCCACTCCATTCAGCTGGATGCAGGAACCATTACAGGAGTGTCTGTACCAGTACAGCGCATCCTGCCCTGGGAAGGGAAACTGGGGGCTCAGGATCAGGACCTGTGTTAATATTACCGTGCTGGCAAAGCCAGATCTTGGCTTGAAAACAAATGTTGCCTTCATAAAATAACTCTCTATGCCTGATCTGGAGATGGAAGTCCAGCCAGATGGGAGGAAAGCTGCGAGCACAAAGCTCATGCAAGAATTAGAAACACAAACGTTTCTGCCTGCTAAGGCATAGCATGTCTGAGCAGCAAGAGAGGAACTGAGCCCAGCACAGGGTGTGCCACGTGCAAGAAACAGCATCCATTGGAGGGGACCACTACGGCCAGGTGATGGTGCCTGTGATTTCACACTCCCTGACTATGTCGGTCCTGGTGGATCCTCTTGGAGAAGCACTGCCCAGCTGTGAATAAGCAGAAGAAAATACTGGTGGTGGCAGCAAAATTTACATCTGATCCTCTTCTGTCCAAACTAGACTAAAACCAGAAAGAAGTCGCTAATGTCATTTAAGCAGGCAGAAATTCTTCCCAGTTCCCCTAAGAGGCAGATGAGCTGAAGGACTTGTGGAGCTGTGAGACTGTAAAACTGCAGACTCACTTCGCACAAGAACCAGAAGTCCAGGTGCCAGAAAAAAAGTTGGAAGTCCAGCTTTAGCAGATTCATAAGTTCACACTAAATTCCATGCTTTCAATTCAAATAACAGATATCATGGCAGCTTCTTACCTGATAAAAATTGCCATACTCACAGCTGTGTTGTGTTTTGGTAGAGGTAAGAAAAGCCCTTATTTAATTCCAAAACCAAAACAGGGGTTTTTTAGAGCCGCTGAATAAAGCTGGCATGGGTACAGCCGGGTCCAAATGATCTTCATGGCAATTCTTGTGTCAAATAAAGGTTTCCCAGCAAGGACAACGGCTGCACACACCCCAGCAGTGTGCCGCCGGCGCGATGAGCCTCGGGTCCCTTCCCGGTAACTGAGCTGTGCCGAATTACCGGGGTCTCCCTACCGAGCTCACGCACCATGTGTGCTTATTAAAAATGCTCCTTCCCGACACTAAGGGGAGCTCAAGGGACCGGGAGTCCCGCGGCCGGGGTGGGATGGGATGGGATGGGATGGGATGGGATGGGATGGGATGGGATGGGATGGGATGGGAGGCAGCCCCTGCCCCGCTGGGAAGGCAGCGCCCCTTTTTCCTTTTGCTTTCTCCCCCGGAGAACCGTGGCTCTTGCGCATCGCAGGAGGAGGGTCCCGATGGTGCCTGTTATGTCCCACCTGTGTCACACGGAAGGACAAAAACGTGTTTTGTTTTGTACACTGAAAGCAGAGTGCTCGGTCTAAGGGCGTGAGGCACGTTGTGATGGTTTCTCGGTCTTCAGTAGCTCCAGCTGTGGTCAACTAGTCCTCTCAGAAAGGGATTTGGAAAAATAAGAGTGGAAAATACCTCTGTGGCTCATATCATGTGCCTGACGGTTTGTGAGAAACTGCCAGGCCATCTGGACAGTTGTACAGGTTTTTCTCTCCCCTTTTAATAGCTAGAAATGGTATTTTTAAGGCAAAACCCCGGAAGTAACCAGCATGTCAGAAGTGTCCCTTTGTAGGGACAGAGGAGGGACAGCTGCTCAGCTCACCCCAGCCTTGCTGTTGTGAGGGCAGGACATTAGTCACAGCAGCAGCACTTGGAGCCTGAAACCCAGAACGGGACCCCCAGGTGGCAGGTTTGTGGGGCATTCATGCCCCACATGTCCATTTCTGCAGTCCAACAAAGGTCCACAGTGTCAGGAAGAGTGCCACGAGCTCCCACATGATAGTTGGTGAGCAACAAAGAAAGCCTCTGGCATCTACAAAAATGGGTCTGTGATGTAAAGGCTGGCTTGCATGCCCACACCACCTCCCTCCCCACATACCCAGCTCAGTGCTATTTGGCCCTAGTTTAAAAGTCACACAGCTAACAGCCCCACACTGCCCTAAAATAGCTATCTATAATAGCTAATAAGGAATTATACTGCTTTGGTTATCATTCACTCCCAGCACCAATTAAAAAGACTTAGTTAAGCAAAATGCAATTACACTGTCATGAATAAAAGGGGTACAATTAATTAAAAAGGAATACTTTCCCTTAGGAATGTTGTTATTTTCAGATGTTCCTGTCCCTGTCCCTGAACAATTCTCGTGATCTGAAGAGATTTGGGGTGGAGAGAACTGGGGGGAGTTTGGGTAGTTTACCTCCCCATCTCACTGACTCACTTGTACTTCTGAGGTAAGTTATAAGACCTGTGAGGACAGAGAACTTCTCTGGAGCCCTAAAACATCATTTCCAAACATATCTGACACTGTTGTCCTGCTTTTCCAAGAAGATGAGAGGCTGTCTGGCACCAAGCTGGGACTTCTCTTCTTTTGGGAAGAAAACAGGGGTTCCTGTCAACTGCAAATGAATGGGGAGAAGCCAGAGACTGGAAGACATGTGCTGTGGCTGGAAGGATTTACCAAAATCCTTGGGAAGGGAGGAGATGTGTGCCACCCTTCCCAATCCACTGCACAGGCAGACACTCAGGCTGATAGTTTTCCAGCCCCATGGTGCACAGACACTTAACCTCAGTCAATACCTCTTCCATGGACAGG